TGTATCTTAACGCCTATGAAAATTTTATGCGTTGGAGATCTGAAAAGCAGGTTACTACATTAACGGACAGTGTTTTTCTTACATATTTCGACGAATTGTCAAAAAAATTACAGCCGTCTACACTATGGAGTACTTATTCCATGCTGAGGTCTACAATGCTGACGAAAAATAATGTGAACATAAAGGACTACACGAAGCTGGCGAGTTTCCTGAAAAGGCTGTCGGTTGGGCATAAGAGCAAAAAATCTAAAGTTTTTACAGCGAAGCAGGTCAAAACATTTCTAAATACCGCTCCCGATGACATCTATTTGGCCACAAAGGTAATAAACTATTAAGCTACCGAATATTTTAACGTCTTTTTAAAACATCGTTCAAACATGACACGAATGAGTGAAATATTATAATTATAACTGATTGTTTTGTTTTTTTTTTGCAGGTTGCCCTAATATTCGGTATTAGTGGCGCATGCCGCGGTATTGAATTAGTCAATATTACCATCAATGATGTCAAAACGGACTCAGTGTTGCAAGCTATAAACTTCCAAACACTAAAACGAACCAGGAAAGAACATTCGTCGTTAAAGGCGAATATCTAAATATTGTGAAGAAATATCAAGCTTTACGCCCCGATAATATTTATCCACACCTCGGTTTTTTTTTGAACTACCAGAAGGGTAAATGCACCCGCCAAGTTATAGGGCGAAATAAATTTGCAGCAATGCCTAAAGAAATCGCGCTATTTCTAAAGCTAGATAATCCAGAACAGTACACTGGACACTGTTTTAGGCGCACTTCGGCCACTCTCTTAGCAGACTCAGGAGCGAACTTGACAACTATAAAACGCCATGGGGGATGGAGGTCGGACCAGGTAGCCGAAGGATATATAGAGGAGTCAGTGGAAAACAAATAAAAAATAACGGACAGTATCACGGAACATATTCATTTAATTTCTAATGAGCCACAACCGGGTACATCGGGTGCTCAAAATACCGAAGTTTTACAATCGCAAACGTCTTCATCCTCCTCGATTCATAACATTCCGTCATCTCAAATTAACACAGTAAATATGCCAGGAAAGACAATTTCTTTCAGTATTTCCAACTGTACAAATTTTACTTTAAACTTTAATTAAATATTATTTTATACCTACATAAAATGTGTTTTATTTTCCTCACAATCGAAGTGAAAAGCAGAGTGTACAACAAGGGCATAAATGTCCATTTTTACCCTCGTCTACTATTATTATATTCTAAAAAATGGCCTCGGATAAAAATGGGTCACTTTATGCCCTTGTTGTACAATCTACTATTTCCTTGTCGAATATTATCTAAATTGCAGATAAAGTGAAAATCAGTACCGGCCAAAATCAGGAGGGAGGAAAGAGAGGCAGAAGAAAACCCAAACGATGTTATTCTTATCAGACATAGGAAAAAATTAACGTCGTGTCATATCAGTCTGCTTTAATAACATAAGTTATGCCGACGACATGGTGCTGCTGAGCCCATCTGTTGGCGGCTTAAGAATCCTCCTAGAAATATGCGAATCGTATGCTGCGAAGCATAATCTTGTGTATAATGTGCATAAAAGCGAATACATGGTCTTTAAGGCGAGTCTCCCTGGGCTCAGGGGTATCCATAAAGATATCCCCCCGTCAAAAAAAAAAGGTAGTAGGTGCCCATCACACGTCTCTCCCATATTTCTTAACGGTCAACAACTGAAAAGGGTGACGTCATTTAAATATCTAGGGCACATGGTAACCGACGATCTGCGTGATGACGCGGATATCGAGAGGGAGCGCAGAGCATTGGCCATGAGATCGAACATGATAGCGCGCAGGTTCAGCAGATGTACAGCTCAAGTAAAAATAACATTATTTAAAGCGTACTGTACATCGTTGTATTCTTGCAGTCTATGGAGCAGGTTCGCACAACGATCTCACGATGCTTTGCGGGTCCAATACAACGACGCATTTAGGGTGCTTTTACGTCTTCCACGACGCTGTAGCGCTTCCGGAATGTTCGCGGTCGCAAATGTCGACGGATTCGGCGCGACGTTGCGCAAGCGCTGCAGCGCGTCGATGCGCAGGTTGCGCGCCAGCCGTCACAGACTCCTGTCTGTTGTAGCTGACAGATGGGACAGTGGCCTATTAAGGCACTGGTCTTCTCTCCATTTAAGTTTAGGTACTAACATAGTTATTATTTAAAGTTCGTTTTGTAATACTAACATCCTATGAATCAACGTTGTCCGAAATAAATGCATTTTATTTTATTTTATTTATATCAGGAACTTAAATTTAGGACGCTGGACAGAGATAATTGGCGATTAATCCACCTACCTACAAGAATCTAAAAGTAAGAAAAAGCATGTATTTAAAGTAGACAAATTAATTGAATTTATCATTGTCTTTATATAACCAAGAATTTAATAAAAACGTATTTTGATTTGCATTGCAACGAATAATGTAGTGTAAAATTAAATGCGCTGCTAATGGGGCAATACCTTTATGTTTAAGACAATGACCGATGACTACGTAACTTAGTCTGGACTTTTGTCCTAATTTGGCAGTAAAAGTTTAGTTGGCTTTTAACATTTTCTGAACGCTGTTATTTAGTTTTGCTTTTATATAAATGGCGGTTACCTTACTAACTAAAGGTCATTGACTTTTATAAATTAGGTAAATAATGTGAAATTGAAATTAATGGTATTATAATCGGTTTATCTGTGATCGTATAGACTATATTTAGTGAACGGTATAAGTAGCACATACTAACAGAATATAAAAGAATGGCTCTTTTTTTTGTTGTTGGCTGCAAAAAGTAAAATTTAAATCCAACACAAAGACCTTCAACGAGCACATAGAGAGATTCGTAGGATCCGTTGAATCGGTCGCTAGGTCAGTTGGTAAGAGCGGTGACCCCGGTGTGGCAACAAATGTTGGTCCGAGTCAGTCAAAGGAATTTTTCTGTGTTGTTCGATTTTTGTATCAATAATATTAAAATACTACTTGAACATTTTCACGTAAGTGTATGAATAAACAAAGAATAAAAGTAAAGAATATTTTTCCTTATTAAGCAAATTGTTTTTATTGCTCTCCTCCGGTGATAAAATACAGTTCAACATTCTCGTCAACATGTGTATCAACATATTCTAAGAATAAGTGTTAACTTTCTGACCTGATGATAATATTATTTATAATTATAACTAGCTGTTGTCCGCGACTTAGTTCACGAATTAATAATAATAATATAATTATTTACAACACAATTTTTTTTAAGGTCCAATAATGTTAATAACTTACAAATATAATTTTAAAACTAGATTTGTGTAAGTGTAATAATAATAAATAGTAGCACAAAAATTCAATTATAATAATCTCAGTACAGAGTACTAAAAAACCGACCTCAAAAGTACGTGGAATAACATATAATTACCAAGTTTTATTGAAATCGGTTACCGGAAAGTGCGCAAACCCGGATTCATCCCCAAGTCCGCCGCTATACGGGACTTGACACAGGAGATAATAAAAATCGGTTCTCACTACTCAAAGTATATTGAGGTAGAAAAACGACTTGAATTGGAGAATAGCAAAATCAACCATTAAAATAATTGCTCCTTATAATAAAATTTAGGCGCTATTTATAAAAATGAATCTTCATGCGTGAACAGCCACCCTTAGAGGTGAATGATTTTCTTCAAAATTAAATGGGACCTCTATGGAGGTACCCTCTTTCAAAAAAAGAATCATGAAAATTGATTCACAAATACCGGAGTTATCGCGTAACATACATACAAAAAAAACTTACATTCGAATTGAGAACCTCCTCCTTTTTTGAAGTCAGTTAAAAAGTGGTAGCCGACTGTCTGACCTCTCACCCAATAGTCTCTTGTGAGACTGCTCAATCAGGACCCGAATGAAAGATTTCATAATGGGTAGCTCAAATCTATTAAGTATGACCTCTAAAATGGTGTTGGTGCTGCCCCTCAGTCTGCTGAGCAATGAGGCTGTCATGTTGCGGATAATGGCATTGAAACCAACAACCCGCACTTCTGCAAACATGATAGATGCTCTGCAAAAGCCGTGCAACCCCATCAACATTCTAAATCCATTATTGTATGTGACTCGTAGGGCGATTTTTTAGTATTAACTAAACCCCAGGCTGCTCGTGTAGAACGATTGGCAGTAGGCTTTAAAAAGTGTAATTTCTTACTATATCCAGCAAACCTGCGTACCAGCATATTATTTCTGATCGCAAATTAAGCAAGTAACCGCTTTTAGTTCTGTAAATAAGTAAGAAGTACATTATAAAAATATCCTGGCATCCCATTATTTTCAGTATTTTGTCATTTGCTTTGGATAGTATTCACACAAAGTTTGAGAGTAATATACTTAGAGGATTTGATTTCATTAAGTGAAATGTAGTTGAGGATCATGTTAACAAACCACAATATAGTCTTTCCGTTATTTACTTTAAAATCTATTCTTACCGAGTTTCAGCTATGTAGACCCAAGGAACAAGATATTCTAACATTTTAACATCAAATTTAAAATTCCATTTTCTTCACTTAGGGAGTTTTAAACAAAAAATACGTTTTTTATTAATTATTTTGAAGAGTGTTAATTAATACCAACTTTCAGCATTCAAGGACAAACAGACGCAATAAATCCATTTTCAAAACACTAATGACCAAAAAGAAACATTGAGCAGATTCTAAATGAAAATACATCTCCACGAGCTTTGACAAATTCATCAATATCCATTAAGCCATTTCAAGTTTATTCTTGTCGAATATCCAGATGAATTCTAATAACAGTTATTTATATATATAAAGGTGGCTTCACACGGCCCGTGATTTCGCTCGATTTCGCGCCGACCTGTACGGGGCGCGCTCCCGCCACAGGCCCTTACATGTGAACTCGTGTCGGCATCGGCACGGACGGCACTCTTCTCACGGCGCGTTAGCGCGAGCTCGCGCCGCGTAACCCGTGAAACCACGAGCCGTAGGAAGTCACCATAACGCGTCCCAATTATATCTTTAATAACAGACAGACACTACAAGCGTATAATTTTATATAAGCGTGTAGATACATGTTTATACGTCAGTTTGCACATCTTTATTTATTCTGCAAAGAAACAAATCGTTGGAATATTGTTTTTGCAAATTAGATATAAAAATGTATTTAATTTTTTTAACATTTTGTGTGGTTTCTGTGGTGTCGACAGATCCGCTAAATTTTGAAAGGAGTAAAGCTACTTTAGTAAGTAAATTTGTGACTAGGAATCGCTGTGGCAATAACATTATAGTAAATTCTTTCTTCTGTGAATAGAAGTGGCAGATATACTAAAAATTATTTAAAACATTTTAGAAACGCATTTTTCTTTTACAATAACTAAAAATTAAAACACAATATTACACAGTGAAATACGAGAAGGTGTACAGTACACCAAGTAAAAAGTATACTGAACATCGCGTACCTTTGTAAATATTATGAAATAAAAGAAAACGTTACAGAACGAAAAACAGTACATTATTGCAGAGGCCGGGAAGTAAGGGTGAGCGAGGCCTTGTATTAAAATACGAGTCAAGCTATCCCCGTTCCTGCCGAGGCATCTATAAAGTTTTTCTCAAACAATGCGAGGAAATAATAAAAGATTAAAGAGACGAAGATCTTTAATAGAAAAAGTTAAAAAAAATATTAAAAGTAATATTTGACGTGTTACGACAATTGCTAAAAGAAAATGTTATTGTTTTTCCAGGTCCATTAATAGTAGTGTGCTGAACTTCTGTTGATGTGTTTGATTGTATATCTATTACTGTATTTTCGTTATCGCTCTTCTCACTAGCACCCATTTTCGCGACCAAAATACAAAATAGACGAGAAAACAAAAGAATACCAAAAACACTTTAAGTGTTACCGCCACTTTCTTTTTTTTTTAAGTAAGCAGTATAGGTAGATATTTTTAATTCTCGCAACTATGACCCTAGGCAGTTGGCTGTTTGAGTTTTTCTTTAGCCTGTATATATAGTTCATTATTAGTAGGTAAATTTAAAAGTTTAGAGAAGTTAACTTTTCTGGAGTGAATCCCCTTGCACTGGTGCTCTTAGTACATGGAATCCTCTAGTTTGAGACACATTATTTTTATTGTTAATAATCAATTGTGACCATTTTAGAAACCGTTATCAGCATGCTGTGACATCCCAGAGTTAGGACACACTAAGCCTTTAAATGAATGTTCCAATCCCAAGTTACCTGGACCAGTAAGTAAACCCACTCTAAATCAAATTTGCATTTTTAATCGTCTTTAAAAATATTATCTTGAAAAGAGGGTACCTCAGCATTGAGCCCATTTAAATTTGAAGAAAATATTCCGCCTCTGAGAGTGACAAACTAGGAGATGAACCCGGTTTCGCGTTCCTGTAACGGATTTCAATAAAACTTGGCAAATAGATGCAATTCCACGTACTTTTGAAAAGTCATAATTATCTTTGTCGCTCTCTACACTGTCTATGATTGCACAAAAGTAAATTTTGATCTTCATTGGTACAAGTATATACTAAAAATAATATATTTATAAAAGGAGACCAACAGCTTAAAACTAATTTCAATAATCATAGTAATAACTGAGAGCCAATTACAGATCCTCACAAATAATAATATAATTAGGAACCCAGATGCACAATTGAACTAGGTAACCTATTACTTATATAAAACATAACTTATTACGTATAACTCTTTCATTGAAAAAAAAAAAAAACCAACATCAAAAGTTTGCTAATCGGTTATTTCCGATTTCCAAGAGCTCCCCTTATCAGATTCTGGCTTCTAAGTGACAATTTGATTGTTACGGTTTTCTTAGAGGATGGAAAAAAAACTTTTATTTGCGGAAAATATTTTTTTATTTGTGATAGCCGAATCTAACCCGGAAAAGCATCGTCGGCATCAGGGACCACCTCGAGAGTGTACCCTTTCAAACAAAAAAAGAATGTTCCATAATCGGTCCACAATTCATGGAGAAATCTGAAAACATAATTAAAGCCGGACGTATAACCTCCTCCTTTTTTTTTTGAAGTCCGTTAAAACATAAAAAGACAACCGCAATTCCAAGCCTCACTATAAGCCAAAGAAATGCCTACTCAGTGCTTTCCTTGCCGAAATTTTCAGAAAAAAGTAATAAATATCACTATTCTATTTCAGTGCGATGACGTGCAATGCGTGTTCGAAAAATCTGGTTTTTTAAAGGATCAACAAACATTAAACAACGAAGCGTACAAGAGCCACCTTAGGTCGTGGGCTGAAACGCATAAAGGCTGGTCTAATTCTATCGAAAGGGCTATAGAAGACTGCGTTGAGAAAGACGTTAGGCAATATCTGGACAAGCCTTGTAAAGCTTATGATGTTTTCACCTGCACAGGAATTGCTATGTTAAAGGTATGAGAGACGT